CGAACGGCTCATGCACTTGCGAGTATCACAAGTTGAGGATGCAACTGAATCCATTTTGGTGCAGCTGTATCTACGCAACAGAATACAAGGTAATTGTAGTATAAATGCTCATGCAAGGTCGTTGTCCCCAAAGATTGTTTGACTAATTTGTAATTAAACTAACTCTTAGTTAATGGTTAAAATAGATTTTATCAAAGATTTGAAATTTATGAATTTGAAAAGATTAACTTAACAATAAAAGAAATCGGAAAGTTGGGAAATTGAAGAAAAGCAAGTTTTAAAAACCAATTTATAAAAGCACTAGGGTTTCACCGTCACCTAGCAATCCTATGAATTCTTACCAATTACTTATGATTTGCACATGCCACTTTGAAGGTTAGGTTTTCCTAATTCATATTCTACTTGGAACCTCCAACATAGAACATATATCTAACATGCAACCCGTCCGGACGTTCGGATCAAATATGAACATGAAAGACTCATTAAGTTTTGTGAAAACCCTTTGAAAAACCATGCAACCCTTAAGACGTGGTGTTCATCTTAAGTGAAATTACAATTATTAACCACAAGAAGCCAGCGTCAATTTCAGGGAACCTTCAGACCAAAATTGCATCCAATTATTTTCTAAAGATCCTAATAGTGATCAAGCATTAAGACAATTAAATAGTTTAAAACAGTGATTAACAATTCAAAATATGCATGCAATCAATCATAAGCAATTAAATAAAAATCACATATTCATGCTAAGGTTCAAGGCTTCACCCTAGCAAAGAGAGTTAGTTACGCATAATCATAACTAAAACCCAAGAAAATATCATTCCCATGAATAAGAATAAAAACACGTTGAAGTAGAAGTTCTTCAAAAACCCTAGCAAAAGTCGCGTTCCAAAAGCCAAAAGAGAGATGTCCTAAAATTATGTGAAACATAACTTATATACCTCCTAAAACCCAGCTGCCCAATCTCCACAAGGAAACTAGGTTAAAATAAAATAATACTAGGAAATAAAGTCCAAATTGGACTAGGAGAATCTGCCAACAATCTGCCCAGCCACGTTTTAGGCTCAAATCTCCTCCAAATCAGGCCCAAGATAGCTCATTTTAAAGATAAAAACATTCTGAACATATCTTCAGAAGGCCACGAACCCATCTGAGGTCATCTTGGGCTCCAAAACGCAATAAAGGCCCAAACCGTCAATATTCCAGCACCGCGCATTGCTCCTTTATTTTATTGCCATAGAATAACCGCTTGGTAGAAAAATCTGAAATTTTGATACGATCAAGCTAAGTGACTCACGAACGTCCTCCAACTGGAATTACTCCAAAATTCGTCCATTTGATTATGTTTTGCTCCGGAGGAAGTCGAAAACCCTATATTGGAAATATAATTCAAAGTATCAAAATTCTTCCAAAATATTAACCAAAATATATTAATAATAGGGTTAAATATATAATATAAAATATGCCCATAAATGATGCACTGTAATATTAAATAACATATGGTGTTGAATATCGTAGTATATGCTAAGTGTTTGAATTTGAATTTCTAAACAAATATCAATCCAGATTTCATAGATTTTGGAGATTTCCCAGAGAGTTTCCTGAGAGATTTCAAGCCTAAATTTAGGCCGCTCAGATTCTAGATTACATTGTAGATCATTTTGCAATCATTTCCCCCACGTTAGTAAGATTTCCAGTTGATGTATCATTTCCCAAATATAAGTTAGGAAAAAAAAAAACGTTAAATATATGTTGATTGCGGAACCAGGTCTTGGTCTTCTTTCTACTTATTTAATATCCATTTTTACAAAGTAGATTAAATATTGTTGAATATTAAGTAAGTAGAAAGAAGACCAAGACCTGGGTTTGCAGTCAACATATATTTAACAGTTTTTTTTTCCTAACTTATATTGTTCTGTTTTTTCTACATTCACACTTGACCATTATGTGCTCTTTGATTGATATATATACGAGTCAATAACAATGTGACACAGTATCAGTTGCTTAAATTAGACTGGACCACATTATCTTTAGACTCATTTTCAATCAGTGATGAAAGAGTGAACGCATTTTCTATTTTGTCATCCAATTTTTGAAAAGAATTTAGGTGAAAAATTAATAAAATATAAGTAGTATTTAATAAAACAGTCCCGCTCACTTAAGGATTTAAAAATAAGGTCATGTGAGGTCCTATTTAATAAAGGCCATTGGATTAAGGGCGAGTTTTGAATTGCTATCATTTTTATATATAAAAAAAATATTTCTACTGTGGTTTGAAAATAATTGGCTATAAAATAAAACAGCTCTATATTTGATAAACAATATTTTAAGTGTTGTTAGTATAAAAAATAGTGTTCAAATCGTTTGATAAATTTTAATATAAAACTGTTGTAATCTATATATATATAAAGCAAAAGGCAGAGAATGGTGAAACATTCAAAATACCATAAAATGCCCTTGGTTAATGTAAACATTAAGAATTGAAATTATTAATTAAATGAGGATGTTGAGGCCCAAAATATCCAAGGCTAGGCCCAAATATAATCTCGGCCCAATGCTATACCTTATCGAGAAGAAATCTGATTTGGGCACGTGAAAGTTCGTCATATGCGCTTGCACACATGCCACGCCACGCTACAAGCTTAAGTGGGCCTAAGCCACGCAAATGCCTGGGGCTTGCTGAGCGGGTTGTGGTATGGATGGTTACGAGTATTCACGAGGCCCATTGATGGTCCAAGGAGTGGAAGTTTTGGGCTACTTGAGAGCACCAAAACTCAAGCTCATTCCTTGAGCCCAAACATATGGGTAAGCATGAGAGAGAAAACCTAATAGCCCATCACCTTAAGAAAAGGCCCACAACACTTGAAGAAATCCCACATCAGCTAAAACTTCCAGCTGCTTGAGCAAACTCACAAGCTGCTGGAAACAAAACAGCCCAACGTCTTATATCCAACATCGTGGAAATATCCAGCATCTTTCTTAAAACCAGATCGAAGCCAAACCACCAAAACCAAGCAAAACCATGTGCTGATGGAATCACCTTTTGACCAGCACCCTTACCCATTCTTTCCTCTTCAAGCTTTGGTGAGAAAACAACAAACAAAAGTGGGCTGCTCCTCACCCACATGGAGAAGTCCAGCTGCCTGAGGACCTTGGAACCCCAAAAAGCTGCGTGCCTATGGGTTCAGGCTAGGGAAATTTCACCAAACAAGAGTAAATGGAAGAAAGTGAGGAAAAGGAGAGAGGGTGGCTTGACAAAATTAAGGTTTTTAATGCCTATAAAAGGAGCCACTTTCTTCCCAGCAAAACACACAACAAACCGATCGAAGGCAAGCATCCCCCCTGGAATCCTTCAATTTCATGCTTTATTCTTCCATCTTCCTCCTTTCTCTCTCTCAAAACCCACATCCAGAGAGAGCAAGCATCATCTCTCATCTCTGGAACCCTCCGATTTCAAGCCTTGTTCTTCCATTGCTTCCCATTTTCTCTTCTGTCAAATCGCCCAGGAGCTTGACGAAGCTTTCGTCAAGCTGCTGGAAATATGCTAAAACCACCCATGCTTTCATCTTCTTCCTCACTCTCTCTCTCATAACACATATCCAGAGAGCAAGCTTCCCTCTCATCTTCAAAACCTAGCAATTTCGTGCACTATTCATCCTTCTTTCCCATTTTCCCTCTTGGCAGAACTGTTCCAGTACTTGACAAAACTTTCGTCAAGCTGCCGGAAACTTGCTCAAGCCACCCGTTCCTCTTCCTCATCTCTTCCTCTCCCTCTCCCTCCTCAACAAATCCTCCCAAAAACTCTCTCTTCCCCTTACTTCGAGCCTATGTTTCTCATAGGAAACCCAAGCCTTCTCTCTCTCATGCTAAACTCATGAATGCTTAGCTCCCATGGCACAAGCTTCTCATGCCAAGCCTAAATATTTATCTGCAAGCAATTGTCTTTTTTGTTGGTGAAGATAACCAGGGTGTTTCCTAAGGCTCCGCTACCTTTTCGAAGCGCACTTGGGGTTTGATTCTCGAACTCAGACATAAGGGGTGGTTCCAGCCATTTGCTTTTTATAGCAGCCCAAGCCCATTCGTCAAGCTGCCGGAACGAAAAAGCCCTTACAGAGGATAATATGGTAAATTCACACTTTTTCATATTAAAAAAAATTAAAATTAAAAGAAAAATCAGATAATGGATCCTATTTTTATGAAACACAACTACCATTATTTTTTTTTAATTCTAAAATAATTTTTTTTTTTAATTTAAAAAAAAGGCTCTCGCAGTCGCGGAAGCTCGTGCGGAGAGGCTAGTTGTGAATAATGTCTCAAATATATAGATAATTTTGCCAACCAATCCACAAAAGCAACTAAATATATCAAATTTTTATATATGAATATTTTAATTATCCGCGAATAGACTGTTCTGCCAACCAATCCGTTTTCTTTTCCTTGGGGTGCAAGAACAAAGACCTTGAGGGGTCAAAAGTCCTCAGCAGCGTTTTCTTTTGGTTCCCGCCTCTTTCTTTCTTCGTCGTTGTTCCTCTCAGTCACTCTTTCTCTCCCGCCTCTGCCTCTCTCACTCTCTCAGACTCTCTCCAGATTTCACACGAATCACGATCTCTCAATCACTCTCTCTCTCTCACCCGCTCTCTCTAAGTCACTCAGTCTCTCTCTCAACCGCTCTCGCTCGCCTCTGCCTCTCTCAGTCTCTGGTCTCTGCCTCTGTCCGTTCTTCCTCTCAGTCACTCTCTCAGCCACTATCGCTCTCTCTCACCCGCTCTCTCTTAGTCATCAAAGGTCTCCCTCTCTCGATTTTTGTTGGTTTGAGGTATTAATATTTTGAAACCCTAATTCAAAATTTAGGGATTTTTGTTGATTTCTGTTATTTCTTTTTATATATTCTGACTTTGTATATATATTTTTTCTGGACAGAATTGATTTGAAGGCAAAGTTTTTCCAGATTGGCTTGCTGGTTGTGTTTATTTCTGGTATGGAATTGTTGCTGTTTTATTTGCTATTTTTGCTGTATTTTTGTTATTTTTGGAAAGAATTGCATCATTCAATAACGTGATTTGGCAGATATTGAGTAATAATTTAATTTGTATGATTGGTTGCTGTTTCGGTTGCTATATTTATTTTTGTTTGCTGTTTGAATAAGAGCTGCATTACCATTGAAAATTGTTGCTGTTTTATTTGTTATTTTTGGTATGGAATTCATCATTAGCATGTTTGGTATGATTTATTTTTTCTATTTGTGATACCACCACGTTGCATGATCTACTGAGACTTTCTATGCCAATGCTTGTTGATTGTCACCATTCTATTAGTTCTCACTTGTTGATTGTTATTGTGGAAACCCTAATTCAAAAATTTAGGGATTTGACTCTGTTGTATTTTTACTATTTATTTGTCTGACTCTGTTTATTTCTGGTAATTTAGGGAATCAAAAATTCTGGCTGGAATTGATTTTGAAGGCTAAGGAAAGGATTGGCTTGCTGGCTGTTTTTATTTCTGGTAATTTTTCTATATTTTTTGTTGCTTTTTTTATTTGTTATTTTCAGTTGCTGTTTTATTTTGTATTGGTTGCTGTTTTATTTGTTATTTTCAGTTGCTGTTTTATTTTGTATTGGTTGCTGTTTTATTTGTTATTTTCAGTTGCTGTTTTATTTTGTATTGGTTGCTGTTTTATTTGTTATTTTCAGTTGCTGTTTTATTTTGTATTGGTTGCTGTTTTATTTGTTATTTTCAGTTGCTGTTTTATTTTGTATTGGTTGCTGTTTTATTTGTTATTTTCAGTTGCTGTTTTATTTTGTATTGGTTGCTGTTTTATTTGTTATTTTCAGTTGCTGTTTTATTTTGTATTGGTTGCTGTTTTATTTGTTATTTTCAGTTGCTGTTTTATTTTGTATTGGTTGCTGTTTTATTTGTTATTTTCAGTTGCTGTTTTATTTTGTATTGGTTGCTGTTTTATTTGTTATTTTCAGTTGCTGTTTTATTTTGTATTGGTTGCTGTTTTATTTGTTATTTTCAGTTGCTGTTTTATTTTGTATTTTTGGTTGCTGTTTCATTTTTTTATTTTTGGTTGCTGTTTGTTTTATTTGTAGTTTACAGAAAACCGTCTGAAAATTAATTTGTTTCAATGTTAATGCTTATTGTTTCATTTTTTGGTTGCTGTTTCAATTAATTTGTTTTTTATATGTTAATGCTTATTGTTTTTTTGTTATTGAAGCATGCAATATTTGTATTTTGGTTGCTGCTGTATTTTGGCTTATTGTTTTTGTTTTATATGTTAACGCTAACCAGAGAGCAGGACATCGAACA